ACTGTTTTAACTGTATAGAGACAAAATATCGAAGCGCGTAAGCGCCGCGCAGCCGTCTAGCGGATAAGTATTGGTACGGAACCCATCGGAATGTAAACAAAATTTATACTTATTGGTAAAATCTCTATAAAATATCTGATAATTTGATGTGCATATGTCTAATGATCATTTTTGACCACTATTAGTTTTTTGACTAAATCTCCGAAACCGCTAGACCTGCCTTCATGAAAATTTGATCAGTTCTTCATATTGTTAAAACAAGTAAAATGCTTTTTGAATTATTTACATCGGATGCTTCGTTCTCTTAAACCGAGTTACCGTTTTTGGCACTTTTTGCCTCATATCGACGGAACAGCTAGACCTGCCTTCGCCAAAAACTAATCAGCACGTCTCCTTATCAATACGAATCGAATGTTTTCTGAATTATTATAATCGCTTCATCCTTGTTCCCGAAATCGTCGACGGAAAATTTGTATCTGAAAACACATACAAACGCATACACATACACACACATACATCCATTTTTTCTAAGGTATGCCAAAATATTCAGAAATCTCTGAAACGTAAAAATATATAAAAATTGTCATTTTAGATTTTTTTGCGATTACTATAACTTACCCTGCGTGAAGTTAAAAATCAATAATGAAAATTTTTATTTTTCTGTGTGTATGTATGTGGGAGTATGTGCAGATACAGTTTTTCGGTGACGATTTGAAGAGCACGGAGCAATTGATTTGAATGATTCAAAAAGCATACGATTTGTATTGACAGGTAGCCGTGCTGACTAATTTTTGGCAAAAGCAAGTCCAACCCTTTCAAAGATACGGAGCAAAAAATGCCGAAATTGGCAATTCAATTTTCGAGGAAACCGATTTGAATAATTAAAAAAATATTTTGACTTGTTTTTACGGAATAAAAAATTGATCAAATATTTTGGGAAAGCTGGTTTAGCACTTTGGATAATCCAATGAAAAACGTTAAGAAAATACCATTTGGCAGTCAAAAATGATCATTAGAGATATGCACATTATCAAATTATATTTCGACTCATTCAAACCAGATACTCTGTTCTCTCGAAAACTACCATTTTTTGCACATTTAGCTCATTATCTCCGAAACGGCTGGATCTGTCTTTGCCAAAAACTAATCACGACTGCTTCCCATCGTTACAAATTATTTTTTTTTTTTTTTGAGTCATTCACATCGGATGGTCTGTTCTTTAAAAACCTTAACTGATATTTTCTGCACTTCTCACTTCGAATGTCTAGCACGTATCTCCATCAGTAAGAATCGAATGTTTTTTTTTGCATATCTCAAATATATATATACACATACACATTCATTTTTCTAAGGTATGCCAAAATGTTTAAAAACTTCTGCCACGTGAAGACTGAAGATATGCAAAAAAAATCAATTTTAAATTATGTAAATGTATATCAAATTATTATTAAGAAAAGTTAATTTAAATATTATTATTACTTAAAACAATTAATATATAGTACGAGGTTATAAAAATTATGGGCAACATTATTGAAGCAATTGTTTTGAGTGAAAAAATCCAAGGTGATATTGTACCTTTACCACGGATACTATATATTAATTTTTTCTGAATTTGCTGTAAAGACTGCAATTTCACAGTGTGCTTTGAGCCAAGATGCCATGTATCACTAGTTAATTTTCATTCAGCAATAAATATTGGATAAATATATCACAAAATAATAATCAAAATATTGCGCCAATATTTACTTCGAACATCTTTTTTATCAGAAACTTGCATAAAATTAGTCTTTATTCAGGTCTAGCCTTGAAATTTTGTGATAGATACTGATTAAAGCATCAGATAAAATAATTTAAAATAGGATTATTTTGTAGAATCACGTATGATATGGTTAACAAAGCCGATAGTATAGTACTGCATTTTTAGTAAACATAATTTATATAATTAGGTACCTATATGATTCAAACAGGAATATGCAAACTTTGGTAAACGTCCGTGGATAATTGAATTAATGGAGTAAATTTACATACCAACGCAGGACAAAATTGAAAACCGTAGTTGAACTAATTATTTTGTGGACTTTTAAGTCTTCACGCGGTGTATTTACCTAACTTCTACACACAACGTTACTAACTCTAGGTGTAAATTGTATGAATAACTAAATTTCTACATAATTTAGTACATTAATTACAAAATTTACTCACTTTGGTTAGCCACATATACGTTGGTATTTTATAGTATTAAACTACCTAGCACGTAAAATTAATGCTACGTACGAGATTGTGAGGAATGTTCGTCTGAGAGAAAGCACATCGAAATAACACGGAACATTCCAGGAGCAGCATCCTGATACAAAACTATTTAGGATTGAATCTAATTGAAAAGTTTGTACTTGTATAGTTGATGTATTGTCGTACACCTGAAAATCTAGTAGGCTCTACGAAATCATTTGCAATATTCGAAATTTGTTATAGCTACCATAAACCATATTAAATTACAGAACTGTTTGTATGTTTTTGTCAAGATAAAACATAATCTTCATCGTCAACCATTCCAATTTAAAATTGTCAATAAAATAATATAATTATAATTACATGCAAATTTTAAATCATAACAAATAAACATAAATTACTATATTTTACCTTTCTCTAATTTTACAGAGAAAAAACTAATTTGTTTTTATTTTTAATATTTTTAATTAAAAAAAAATGGATCAAAAATACCGAAATTTGAACATTAAACATTTGAATTAAAGTACTTTGATCATAAATAAATTTATATTTTAGAGATTTGTACCGTTGTCCCATATAAAACCGGTATTGTATATTGGATTTCAGCCTGGATCGAAGCATAATGTCGGGTTAGTGTTAAGTTCATATACCGATTCTAAATTGGACACAGAATAAACGTCTTAATTTTGTTTTTAGTTTAAACTTGATGGATTGTGCCCAAATTTTTAGTTAAACTGAAATTCTTTTTGGAAAAAAAGACTGTCAAAAAAAGATATTTTTATATTTTGAGATATTTTGGAAATGTACTTTTTTTAAGCAATCGCGCTGCTTAAATATGATCATTTTTAATCTCCAAATTGCTTTTATTACTTTTTTTGCTAGATCTCCGAAACCACTAGACCAAAAATGTTTTATGAAGTATTAAAATCGGACGATCCATATTCTCAAAAACTGAATTGCCGTTTTTAGCATTTTTTGCCCCGTATCTTCTAAACGGCTTTTGATAAAAACGAATCAGTACGTCTCCTTATCAAGAAGACTGATGGGACTCGAATGTTTTTTGAATCAATGAAATCGGTTAAACTATTGAACATACATACACACACATACTTACATCCATTTTTTCTAATGCCAAAATGTCTGGAAACCTCTGAAACGTGAAGATATATGAAAATGTTCATTTTCGGATTTTTGCGTTTGCTATACATACGGGAAGTTAACAAAATTATTTTCTAACTAAATAATATAAATTAAATAATATAAAACAGATAATTTATGCGATAAAAGTATATATATAATATATACTAGCAAACCCGAGGAACTCCGTTTTGCCACCAGATGGTGTCGTGAGAAAGACAAAGAAATTTTTGTTTGTTTTATATTTGAAAAGGAAAAATTTGATTTTATTACACAACAATAATGAATTAATTTCGATTACAAAAATGAAGTGTTTTTTAGTTGAACTTCTCTAAGTAAATGAAAGTGAATCCGCAAATTATCCGTTTCATTAAAGTGCTCTTTAGTAAACCACATTTTTTGTTTTTTGGTCTGGCGTTAACACAAACAAAGCGGATGGTTTCCCAACTCGTGAACAGGCAACGTATAACTGACCATGTGAACAACAATGATTTTCTAAATAATCTATTTGAAATTTATCCCGCAATCACTAAGCGATTGGCCTTGCGACTTGTTATTGCGAACGCAAGGCGAACTGGAAATTGCAATCGTCAAACGGAAGATCAGTCGGAATCATTGGTATGTCATCAAATCGCCCGCAATATTTGATTGAATGGTGAAATTCAGTGCTTGTACATCATTATTCTTTGAGGCAAGAATTGCTCGTTGACTTAACCAAGCATAATTCTGATAACTCTCACTAATGTCATTACTCGAATTTTTAATAACGGTGCGTGAAGTTCCAGCAACTTGCATCAAGGCACGATGCCATGCACTACTAATTTTCTTATGCTATAAAGCTTGCGGAGGCTTTTTCCACGAATGCAAAATTGTCGAAATCGGTTCGTGCGTTCTGGAGTTAAATCGTCAGGAAGGAAAACCCGACTAATTTATATATATATATATATATATATATATATATATATATATATGTAGATAATCTATTTGAAATTATTCAAAACAATTATTGATTATTTTCATTACTCGAATTTCTAATTACGGTGCGTGAAGTTCCAGCAATTTGCATTAAGGCACGATGCCATGCACTACTAATTTTATATATATATATATATATATATATATATATATATATACATTTGCGTGTGTGTATGTGAATGCTTAATATAGCACGCAGATATAGCTTTGTTTTTGCCTATTTCACAAATAATTCCTATCAATAATGATATTAGTTTAACATTAATAACGGCTCGATGTTTTCTTCAAAGATTGATATCACTATCAATGTACATCCTCACTAATCCGATCAACGTCCGATTTCCTACCATTTTGATGGACATTTCCGATCCACCGGTATTAGAAACCTAATCCTCTTCGGCTATTTATTTATATTGAATCGATTAATTTAATCGATTGATAATTAAATATCGCATTAAATAACAAAAACATGTATGATACTTCATAGATACTAAAGTGAATAATAATAATATTATTGATAACATAAAATAAAATTGCATTAACTAAAACAACATTTTACTTGATAATTCGTAGATTTATAATAAGCAATTGATATACGTGTCTCTCAAGTTGAAATATTTTGCAAGGTAAATTGATCTATCAATGTCTTTCGGTTCCAGGAATCCGAGGATCTGATAGACATATCTTCATGTCCGTGGACGTGCGAGTTGACGAATGATGCAGGATATGTGGTGTATTCTGCTCTAGGATCATTCTACATTCCTATGTTTGTCATGTTATTTTTCTACTGGAGGATATATAGAGCAGCTGTCAGGACAACCAGAGCTATCAACCAAGGATTCAGGACCACAAAAGGTAAGTGGAGGACATGGTTATTCACTGATTTCTAATATATTTTGATCTTTGGCCTAACTATTGTTGATGTCTCTGAGAAGATGTTGAACTGATTTACTTTGAGTAGATCAATTCGGGAGTTATATAAATATTTTATATACGTGTTATAAATTTTATGTGCGTATTCAGTAGGTTTGGGAATCGGTAACTATCAATTTTTTATACCCTTAAGTCATAAAGGATGGTCTGGGATGCGTAAAAGCATTTCCTTCGCTATACAAAAAAGAAACCCTTAAGTCATAAGAGATATCCACCCTTAATTTTTTTTGTAATTTTTAGACAGAATTTTTTGTTTTTACTTTTTTATAGTGTGGTAATAAAAATACATACAACCAAAATCTTTACTTTTTACTAATGCCCATTTTTTATAGTCATTTTGGTAATTCAATCATTTTTTATCCGGCGTTTAGTCATTGAATATTTGACATAATTTTAATTCAGATTTTTTAGGCTTGAAGGAAAAGCTTACATTTTTCTCCAAAATACAATTTTTTATTACTAAGGGTTGTCGAGTCCTAATACTTTTTTTAATTTTGGAATCAACTATTCTTATTTTAATTTTTTTAATGTAGAATTGCAAAATACATATAATTCTTTTTACTTTAGAATACTATTTATTTTTATGAAGTGTTGTCCAACTTTAATATTTTTAAATTTTGGGACCAATTTTCTTTATTCTGATTTTATATAATTCCAAATTGAAAATACGTGAAATTCTTTTTATTTAAAAAAAAACTCTTTATTTTTTATCAACTATTCTATTTCATAATAGCCAAATAAACAATATTTCACCACGCTTTTTTCAGTCAGTAGGAGTTTTATTTACTGAATTTTGATTGATATTTTTCTGACCTTATGGCATTATGAAAAAAACAAAATATTTTTATCAATTGTTGTTTGCGCTTCTCATTTTCCCATTGTACAAATATTTCCCGAAGTGCACAAACAGCAGATAGTTTATAAGTGTTGCAAAAACAATTTTTGCAAAAAAATCTGAAGAAACAACAGTTTTTAATAGAGATTTATAGGTGCTATACAAATCTATGGCAAATCTGTAAAATTTTCTACTACAATCAATTTGCTGAGCATGCCACATAACAATATATGTACTTTAAAAATGAATTATAGGATTTTGATTCGTATTTCAAAAATTACTGGATTAATAAAAAGCACGCTAATAATATATCAAATTTTTGAAAAATTAAATGTCCAAATTCAATTTAAATGGAACCAGTTTAAGCTTAGATTGGCTATTGCAAAAACTTTGCAGTGGGTGACTATAGTCATATAGTTTGGCTGGGTGCCCCTTTCATTTAGGGGGAGGGAGGATGTGATAAATAATTACGAAATATTCTGTGGGGGAGGGAGGTGTGTAGTACAATATCACGTGTATTTATTTTTTTCTGATTTTTTAAAATAAAATCAAACATTTGCAAAAACACGATAAATGACATTTTTTTCTCGTAACTAAAAATACACGTAATGTTTGGTCCTAAAAATCTCAAAATTTGGTCGTGTAATTAATGGACGCCTCATGCACCTAAACTAAACGTTTTAAATTAGAAATATTTTATATGGCAAAACAACGTTCTTCGGGTCAGCTAGTATATATATATATATAGTGTGTGTGTGTGTGTGTGCGTCTTTCTGTTTTCTATTTATCTTTTACACTTGCAGTGATTGAACTGTACAAAATATGCCTGTAATACATTACATGCATATCCAAAAATAAAATCGTACAAGTTTTTCTCATTATGGTCCGCAGATAAAAAATATGCCGATTCAACGATTCCAATTCCCGTCGTACGAGCATAGACTCCTTATTCATATTTATTCAAATGTATGTATATCGGAACATCTGGATCTGAGATGTGATGCGAACGAATTTCGTTTTGATGCGATTTCAAAATACTTCGGTTAAGGTTGCAAAGATACGGGTATATCACAATCAGGACCAGAAAACCAGAAAAAAGCTAAATAATCCTCTTTGCATCGAGTAATTTAGACCGTTGGGACACCTAATATAATTTTGTAATATGAAAGTATACCCTCGTAGTGGTAAGAATTTATCTACTTACATGTGCGTGAAATTGAAGTGAATGCATATATATAAATATATATATATATATATATATATATATATATATGAGATGGGCTTATCATATCCGAAGCCGGATCGACTCGGATTTGACTCCGCTTCATGGTGGAGTTATATCCGCTTAACAACTCCACGACTCCGAAAACTTTGAAACCGAAATACTCGACACAAATGTGTTCTATAGTGAGTTGTTTAGGCATCTAAAGGTTTGTCAAATCCCATTCAATTTTTTTAAATGGAAATTTATAAATAAAATAAAATAAAAAAATATCAATAAAATAATTTTTCTAAAAAATTCCCAAATAAATGATGAGTTGTAAAATTTTTTGGTCGACCACATGATCGACTCAATGACTCGTAATTTTAACAGTGTTGACCAAAGTAAAAACGCAAAACTTGAGAATCAAATTCAATTTAATTATTTTCTTTTGATGAGAAAATAATTGATTTTTGGGATTAATTTTATATAAAAACAATGTAGTAAACTTTGTAATAAAAGCAACACGTTTATCATAGAATATTTTAACGAAATAATAATACTTCTGCTTTCTAATTTTTTCTTCTGCTATTTCCATTTGAGAATTAATATTATATCCGGTAGTTCGATTAGCATAGTATTACTTTTACTCAATTATATAATTGTGAAAAAGTAAAAATTTAATTCTATATATTATTTGCTGCTTAAATACTATTGACGTCACTGATATATTTTGCACTCTAAAGTATTGTTATTTCAGGCTATGAAAAAAACAGATTATTAAATGAATTTTGTTTCGTGTATTTTTTGGTATGTATGTATATTCCTGATTGCAGTCTTTTACGGCCAAAGATTGTCGTAGTTAGAAATATGACCCCTTACTATTCAATAAATTATACATTGGAGCTATTCACACTTGAACACAATTTCATTGTTCTGTATCTTTGAAGTAATATTTTTGTATTTTATAGAAAAAACTGTATACCTAAAAGGTCATAAAACTGCCTGTGGAACGAGAAAGCGACAGCTTCCTTCCCAAAGCAAAAACGCAGTAACAGATTTAGTACCAGTTTAGGGAAGTCGGATATGACAAATCTTATATGACAAATTATATATATGTATATATATATATATATATATATATATATATATATATATATTAAACACGTTATGATTAGAAAACTGGGTCGAATCCAGTTTTTTTTGCGAAAAAATGCTGGTCAACGTCATTGATATTAAAGATCTAAAAACAAACAAACCATAGTAAAAATGAAGAAAAATACATGCGATATAGGTAAAAAAAATATTTTCTATTTTAATTATGAAAACACACTTACATTGCATGTGGTGTGGCAGGGCACAAAGGTTCGATTTGACTTTGAGCTATTATTGTGAAAACCAATCCAATTATATCACAACAGATCCCACATATTAAACTAACAACCATCTGACCAATAAAACTAGAAGCTAATTCGTCTTAATAGAAATGTATTTTATTTCCTGTTTTTGTAAAATTTGTTAGTGGTTCTTTCTATCCCTTAGGGTGGGACAGCCAGGGGGCAAACAGAACCGACGCCTTATTTTTAATGCTGAAGAATGTGAAATATTCATTTAATGGGTCCTGTTTACCCCACTCACAAGCTTTTACAGAGAAAAAAAGAAAAACCGTTGAATCTAACCTAAAAATAAAAATATATCTTATAAAATGATGTGATAAAGTGTACTTAAAAATTATATTAAGGTCTCGTAAACTAAACCAAAAATAAACTAACAACAAAACAAAATACTTATGTCTAACAACAAAACAAATACTTTTCATACATGATCGTGTATATTCGGTCGTAAGAAACAGGTGATACGTTGTTTTCTATACTTTAAAATATTGTTGTTGCAAAATTCTTAACCTAACTTGCTTTTAAGGGGGTATTCTACTGTAGAAGCATGAATTTTGCCCGTTTTTTCGAGCGCTGTATAAAGTCTATGATTTGTTTATTGATATTTTATTATTACATACAAAAATTATTAACGAAAAAAAATTAGAATTCACAAAGTTATGAGCAGTCAAAGTGGGAGCTCAAAAAAAGAGGGTGTTCTGGCGTGCATGATTCCAACCCTCCTGGTGATCCGAAACATAAAAAAAAAGATGGATTCTTAATTATTATAGATGTCGCTATCGTATGAACCTTGGATAAGTCAAAAAAAAATTTTTTTGTTTGAATCGCGGCAGTTTGAAAGAAAAAATGTTTTTTTCATGTTTTTTTAACCATTCCGAATTTTTTAAAAATACTAAATGAAAAGTTATAGTTTTGGGAGAGGTCCATGCGATGAAGCAATGTATAGAGAAAATCCTCTCTAAATTTGAAGTAAATCGGTTCATTAGAACTCGAGATATCCTTACCGCCAGCTCGAAAAAAGTAGTTCCGAGAAAAACGCGTTCAAAGTTTTGAGACTCGGTCGGACCCGAACCGAGGCCACGTCACTAAAACGGCTATAACTCAGGATATAATAGTAATTTTAAAAAATCCTTTTAATGACATATTTTTGAGTAACTAAACTTGGAAAATATGAAAAAAATTTTTTTCAATTTTTTTCAAAATTCTACAGTAGAATACCCCCTTAAGATATGGTGGGGATAATTACTCGTAGACCTTTTAGCCCCTCTCTACAGTATATATGTTCTAAAAAAAATGCAAAATTCCACAGACTAAAGACTCTGAAGTTAAAATATGAAAGTTATTTACAAAGTCGTTATGAAATTGAGTTATAATTTTGTGTATACAGGTGCAACTACAAGTATAAAATTATATAGTGTATTTATCAAATATAATAATTCTTCACACGTTCACAACTTCGAATTATTTTCTGTCCCACTTTCCACTCAAACTC